CCTCAGACCCCTGACCCAAAGACCCCTGGTGGTGCAACCTGGAAAAGCTGCAGGCAGCAAGGACTGACGCGAGGGGGTCACCTGACCCAACAAAATAAGACGCAGAGGGAACTTTGTAAAAGGGTCAATATGTTGACGAGTCGGGAGTGAGAATGTGTTAGATTTGGATACAATTGAGAGCTCTGTGGGAAAGTAGAAAGATTGGATTTAAAACAGGTAATTATCTTTTTCATTTGTTTTTCTCATATAAAACTCCAGGGCTGTTTGATGAAGAGCAACATAAAATAACAAAACCCACATGTGGAATAAAAAACAAACTTTTTCAACATTGCATATTACTAACAGTGGTTCTGTGGTGTTTCAAAATGTTCAGTAGCATCCGCGTGTTTCAGTTCCCAAACTTTATGGCCCCAAAGTATGTCCCTTCTGCCTCCTTGTCCAGCATCCAAGCATTGGACACGTTGACAAACAAGGCGTCTCCCTTGTCCAGGTAAACCACTCGGCCCTGCTGGGCACAGTACATGTTGTAGCTGGTGTTGTTCCAGCGCATGGTGCTGCCCGTTTTCATCAGGAGCCCAGCTTTGCTGTTCTGCTTGAAGCTCTCGTGGTAGACATACTGGATGAGTTGAGCGTTACTAACATCAACCGCAGGCATCTCTTCTAGTCCTCCCAGGTTGTAGTAGCGGAAGCAGGTTTTGGCGTAAACGTAGTAAAAGCCTGGTACAGTCACTAGCAGTTTTCTCTTCTGGTAACTCATGTTGCGCAGGGTTCCATGCACTTCATCCCACTCAATGACGATGGCCTTCTCAACCTCTGTGTGACAACAAACACAAAAATATGCTTTGTTAGTTCAATAATTATTTGGCTTCTTAGGAAACAAACAGAGCAAAAGTCTGAAAACATGTTTAATAAAGAAAATTAACAGATTAATCTAAAACTTGAAGTATGTTTGCCATTATCAGACTAGCATTTAAAGCTATAAGTAAAAAACAACAACAGCCTAGTTTAAAACCTCTCATAGTTTACCTAAAGCCCATGTTGAAATATTTTGTGCCCCAAAAAATCTTACAATTCTACATCAGATCTGAGCTGCTCTGACCATGTATACCAGGGGTCTGCAACCTGTGGCTCTGGGGCCACATGTGGCTTTTGGTCCCTCTGCAGTGCCTCTTTGAAAATGTGACCAAACATAACAGAATATTTTGTTGTTCTTTTGTTTGTTTGTTTTTATACCCACAACAGATATCCCATTTGTATGCAAATATGCAGTGATGGGCAGTGCTAACCCAAAAATTAGCTCCGGACTTTCTAAAGCGCTTATGAAAATATTTAGGTCCGCAACTTCAACAACGCTTATGCCGTGGAAAAATTAGTGGAAGCTAATTTTAAAGCGCAAGTTTAATTTGACACTTACTAGCTGGCAACAATTCATSTACAATACAGTATATGTACAACACTGCCAACTAGTGGTGTGTGAACCCTTGTACAGCTTAATCCTACAAGCGTCGACTGCTGGGGATGTGATTTACTGAAACAGACCTTTAGCTCCTGGTGTAAAAATTAAAAAGTTGTTGAGGATTGCTAGTTCAGCTGATTCTTTTTCTTTTGTTTGTTGTAGATTTTTCATTAAAGAAGCGTCAATAAAGCAATTTTAAAACTGTTTATTGGAAAACTGAAGCGATGCATTCTGGGTACATGACGGATTTGATTTGTGACGGGAAACGAAAGTTTTCCATGTAGTTGCTCTAGTTGACCACAAGATGTCAGTCTAACCCTGTTGGCGGATTGCTTCGACCAATTACGTCAAGTATTGAGCTCCAGCGTTTAAACTTTTTTTTTAAAGGAGCTCCGATTGTAAAGTAAAATAAATCAATACATACAAAATTTTAGTATGGATTACAAACGTTTACTGTTTTTGCTATTGCCTTCCTGCTACGTAAGCAGACACAAAGCATTGTGGGAAATGTGCTTTATTTGTCATCAGTGTATGTTTCCACACAATGACGAAATTTGTGCTCTGCATTTAACC